GTGTGTGTGTGTGTGTGTGTGTGTGTGTGTGTGTGTGTGTGTGTGTGTGTGTGTGTGTGTGTGTGTGTGTGTGTTTATCTGTACAATGTGATATAGCTGTGCAGTGCTAGTGAAGGATGGCAGTAGCTTGATGTGGAGTTGTGTTTGCATTAAATTATTATGTGTCACTTTGGACACACATGAGAACACACTCTACCAATTAGCTGTCTTTACTTTCCTAAACTCAGACAAAAATGCGCACGCTCGCTCTGGAATTCTTTTATCTTCACAGAGCATCTTTGGAATGAGCGCCTCTCTGCTTTCTTGAGGGACATATGGCTCAGTATGACCTGCCAGCGTCCTTCACTATTGCTGGCTTTACCCCAAAGCCCCCCAGGCTGCACTATCCTGCACTGCTCTCTGCAGTTAGTACCACCTTCTGACTGTCTGTGTTCTAACCAGCTCTTTTATGCAGACACTATTCCCAATAGAACACTCTAAAACGCACACACACATATATTATATTAACACAAGCAAGGCTACTGCTCTCATTTCTGCACACACCTTTTTATGCTTATGTCAGCATGCATAAAGGACAGTGGCTGATGCTCATACCTGCTGTTCATACAGCATCTATTCATATTTGAAATAATCACTACAATTCAGCGTTTCTTAAAGCTGTAGAAACAGAATTTATGTACCACCTGGGTGCAGAAGAAGAAAAATGTTATGGTCTCACATTTCAACAGCTATATGCAGCTATATACAACAGCTTGGCAATAATTTGGCCTCTGCAGTTTGTTTTGCTTGAACTGGTACTGTCAGACATTTTATTATATGTCAGTTATTTCAGTTATGCACACACGACAAGGAAGGACTCCAGTAGAGCTCCATGATGCAGTAATAATGTTTATTTGTACATAACAAGACTGGTGTTGCAGTACTAGTGTTTTACAAAAGCATATAAATAAAATTCAGTTATATATGCAGATGAAATATATTTATGAATTTAGAAGCCCTGGATTAACCCAACAACTGTTTTTGGACTATAGGAAAAAGCTGGAGTGCCCACAGAGGTACAGGGAGAACAAGAAGGCTCCAATAGAGAGGGGTCCCAGCTGGCCATTGGGTCCAAACTCAGGACATTTTTGCTATAAGGGAACACCAGTATCCACTGTACCAGCCTGCTACCCATCAATACATAAGAATAAATAACAATGAATTAAAAAAAAATAGAACATAGATTCAGAAGTTCAGAATATGAAAATGAGCTAAAAAGCTTAAAACAAATAATTTTAAAAAAGCACTAGAAGACTTTAAAGCTAGAAATTTTATTTTTATTAAATAAGAAAACTTTACAAGAAATCCCTTTGAAATATTCTTTTTAGAACTAATGAAGCAACTCAAACAGTAAACAGTTGAGTAACAAAGGTGACAAATATGTCTTAAGGCAGAATATGTAGTTGAACTGTGTTGGGTTAGAGTGCCTAAGTAGACCAAAAACGTATTAAATTTACAGGCATTTGAATGTCTTTTTGTTTAATATCAACTAAACTCTGAGCTCTGCCTTTTGCCTCCTTCAGCGTGCTACCTGACACTTTTTTGTTTTCTGCAGTCTGGTAATGGTCAGGCAGAGAAAGGGGGTTAATTTTGTTGAAATATCTGCCTGATTGTGCTGAAGCCTGGCTTTTTAAGAGCAAACATGAGGTGTTTGGTGTCATAAAGCAATGCTACAAACATCAATCCAATCAATCAAATGGGACTAAAATGCAGCAAACACATAGTTTAGTAAGAACTCCAACCTAAATCTAATGCAGCTTAATACAGCAGTCCAGCTTTCACATACTGGTGCATCACAGTGTGTTATTTTGAGTCAAGTCTCATCATAGATTTCTGTTGGCATTTCTTTGTGTTTCCTTGGTGTTCTGGGGCTCATTGCCAACAATGTACTAGCTTTGGTGTTCAGCCAAGATTTATAGGTCGGTGCTGTACAGTATACGCTGTATTTTCTGGGTGGAACTGTGATGTTTCCAAAGGACCAGGGTTTCTGATTAGTGCAGCACATTCTCCCATTTATTTTCCCTCAAGTCTCACTTTTATGAATTCAGGGACTGTGGGCCCAAATGTGGCAGCAGTGTGAAATGTGGCTTGTTTTATTTTTTCCTTGTCTTTTTGCTTTGGGTTTTCAGTCACAAAGTGAACTGCTGTGGAAGATATACAGTGATTCCTTTTTTTAATAATATATTTTTTCTTTTACTTTTGTTGGGTGATGTGCAAAGACTTTAAAGAACATGATCCAAATGTTGGCCTGTGGGCTACATCTTAACCAACATTAACTGTGCTCATATTATCCTCATTTACAGGCTCATAAATCTATTTCAGGATACTATTAGAATAGTTTACTTGCTTTAATGTTCAAAACCACATTATTTAAAAAAAAAGAAAAAAAAGAAAGGACATTGCCGCAGCACCTTTTTTTCATCTCCCTTCTCAATTGATCCATCTCACCTTCTGTCACTCCTCATTTTGCGTTTGTTGGTCAGCTGATGAAACACAAGAAAACTAAAAATATGTAAATAAGAGCACTGTAACTGGGAATTCTTCTTTATTAAAAATAAATATAAGACCGGGAGAAAGAACAAAAAGGGACCATGGTAATATTAACCACATTAGCCATGCTTTGTGCTAATATTAAATATGAAGGCTTAAAATAAAAGTAATTTGCTGAGCCTTCAGTTCCTCATATACCAGGAGTCCATAAAAGATTTTGTGCTGTGATATTTGCTTTGCTTTGCTCATAGCTGAGACTTTTATGGATCAGTTAGCCAGATTTTTTTCAAGAAACCGGCCCCATAGACAATTAAAAAATAGCCTCCTAACCCATCTAATATCCAGATTTGGGTATCAAATAGCCTCTAGTTTATATATTAGTATGATATATAATGAATTTTGGGTAGAACTTGGACTTTGTTTTCACATGCACAACAATATCTATATATAACCAGATAAGGAATAGAGAAAACATATAAAACATAATAAAGGCACTTTGGGCTAATGTGGTCTGTTTGATTGATTTCACCGGAGGTTTATGAGTTCGTTAATGATTTTGAAAACAGTCCCATTATAGAACTATTTTCTGTTTTGTCTAGAAAGCAATTTTTGCTCCAGTCTATTCCCAAAAGCACTTATAATTTCACAGAAATCTAAAATTATTAGTGCAACTGTACTGCAGTTGTTTGTCAAACTACGTATGAGCATCGGCTCCTCATAGGCATCAAAGGGAAAGAGTTTGTAGCTGTGCGTTCCTGTTCTGTACAGAACTTTAGGTCGCTGTTTTGCTGGAGTGTGAGTTTGTGTACTGACCTTGTGCTCTCCCTGTGCAGGTACACCCTTTGCTGATGCGCGAGAGGCGCTCAGAGTCTCACAGGAACAAGCTGCTGCGGCGGACAGTCAGCGTTCCTGTTGAGGGAAGGCACCATCCCGAGATGGGTGAGCAGACAAATGTCATTTTTTCTCTGACTTTTTTTCTCTGATTCTGATTGAGGCTCTAATCAAGGTCCAATCAACAATTATTTTGCGTTTCGTCTTACTTTTAGCTGTTTATTTTCGCCGACAGTTTTAGTGATGTGGTGCAAAAGGCTCATTCTATGAAAAGAAATTCACAAACATATTTTACAAAACTTTGAGCAAGAGAACCAGTCTGAGTTTGACAAATGGAAGTGGTATTTTCTCTGTGCCAATCAAAGAGTTGCAACAAAAAAGGAATTTCTTACACAATAGAATCTTGAGGTGATATCTACTTGTTTTAACTTATGCTGCTGAAGGCATTTTTCACAGACAGAGTACTGCAGATTTTGTCTACCATCATTTTCAATGAGAACATTTTTGGCAAGGCAAAAAATGTTTTTGTTTTTTTTTTAAGTTTCATTATTTTTCTGGCCATCCGCTAATGTTTTAACACAGACTTGGAAAAATGTGAAACTATCCATTAGTGACACATTTCTGAGCAGGTGCTCTCTGTGGACCATTTTTGGTCGATGCCCCAGTTGCTTCTCGCGGTAATTCAACATCTTTTTTTGGTTGCCCATTATGATTTTCAAAAACATTATCACCTGTATTACTTTAGTTTGGGTTTCTTGTAATAACAGGATGGTTGCATAGCAACGAAAATGATGTAAAGCTTTTGGTATCCTTTGAGCCATTACTCGCGCTGTTACTAGCAACGCTCACAGCAGCACTCTGCATCTGAGCAGAGATAAAAGCGTCACATCTGATCAGAGCTGAAGGCAGTTGCTTCCTTTAAGATTTTCACTCGTTCTTTTCTCAGTTTGACTGATTTTATCAGTCAACTCACTTTGAAATGAAATACATGCATTGATTACTTGATTAACGCACATATCTTTTGAGTTTGTTGTCTGTCTCTGCCATTGATAATTTTTTTTATTTTCTTTGTTTATGCTTTTAAACTTTTCCGACTCTTTTTTCACTTGTCCTCTTGGCTTTTTTATTGCCGTAGCGTCCTCTTAAATTCTCAATGGATCCCGTGAAACTGACCCTCTGATAGCAGCCTTCCTTTGTTTATTTTGCCTGACTCAGTCTCTCTGGGCCCCCTACAAATGTCCCGCACAGTTTCTCCCTTTTCCTTCACCCGACACCTCTTCCTCGCACTCAGCTATTTTAAGGGTCTCCCTTGCGACGTCCTCTATCATTGATTCTGCCATTGCTTCTGCTTCTTTGCTGCCCAACAGTGCTGATTCAACTGGATAAATACTTTTTTCAGTTTTCATACGAGTGGCTCTCTGACCTTAAAGTGATCAAGCAGTGACACATCACTTGACGTGGTCCTGCTCCATTTTGACATATGCTGACATGGCAGTGTCACTTCATATTGCCTATGTGTAAGCGTATTGTAAATATGCATTCACATATGTTAGTTTGCTGTGGCACAGGCCATAGTGCACTGACACCATTATGAACTGACGGTAGCGCCTAAGCACAAAGTGCCAGAACAGATTAATGGACTCCAGGAAATTTGTAATTATCAGATACACAAAAACGCTAATGGAGGCTGTCATGAGGCCACAGTTAGAGGCATACTCTACAGGAAGCTACATGACCTACTTTATGAATTCTCTGACTTAAAACAATGAGGTGATTAGGGTTTCACAGTGAATTAAGCCATCATATACTAATGTGCCAATTATTTATTCTGAAGTTGTTTCAATCTCACATTTAAGTTGGAATCTGACTTGAGCAGCTGCACTAATGCTGTTCCTTGGCCAACAGATTACACTGTTTGCAGAAAACTATTTATCATTTTGAATCAGATTTTTGTTTGATTTTATTATTGCAACTTATATAAATAGTATGCCCAACCCAAATGTGCTTATAGACACTGTTATAGATTGACAACACCGCCATAAATTATGAAAAATGATAAATAAATAACTGCTGTACTTCCCAAGCTTTCGAAACAAAAGCTTACATTTCATTGTGCAGTTTTCAGTGGTTACATGTAGGAACAAAGCACATTCGTTTACATGAGCACTTGGGTTTGACATGCAAATACACAGGTAATTTTCATCTGCAGCCGCCCCATGTGCAGAAAAACATTTAATTTCATTTAATTTAATTTCATTTAATAGACAGCTCATTCAGGACCCTATAGCCAAATGATTATTTCCCTCCGAAGTGATGCATATTTGGGGTTCTTGTTGTCTGATCTCCTTGCTGTTTCACACACACACACACACACACACACACACACACACACACACACACACACACACACACACACACACACACACACACACAGGCACAGAATGTTAGGGAGCTGTGATCCAGGTGGGTTTAAAAGCAACTTGTAGGCAGACTAAAGAAGCTTAAATAACTTGCACAATTTGTGATTTGCCAATTACATGCAAGTTGTAAAGGGTACCACATGATTCCTCAACTGATGTGGACTGAAATTGAGGCGTCATGACATGTCTGGGATTTATTTAGTGACCGCCCTGAAATGTACTCTGCCTGTTAACTCATCATAATAAGGTCAGTACAGAATAACAAATGTTTCAGCTTCGCACAGTTCTTAGAACCTTTATTAGCTGAAGCATCCCTGATAATCATCATTCTTTCTGAGAAACTGGATGTATCGGGATCAGACTGTTGAGACTGTCAAAACATGTAAGTCATTGTTCGATATTTTGGGAAGTAGGTTAATTACTAAGAATAATTAGATTGATAAAGCTCTGATGCTAAATATAGATCAATCTATAGCAGCTGTTGAAATGGTTGAAATGTCTCACCTGATTCAGACTGGTAAACAGACTGGTATTGATCTACCAAATTCTTATTAACAAAGTCAAACTATGACTGAGGTGGGCCAAATCATT